TTTAAAAAAAAGAGGGAAAAAGAAGATACAGCAGCCGCGCACCTAAACGGGGGAGACCTGAGCCGAGCCCCGCTTGAGCGCCGCGGGGCCGGCGGGGGCGCAACGGGCCGAGGGCACTCCACACCAGGGCATAAGCGAGCAGAGGACGAGGGGGAGGAGAGAAGGGAGAAGGGAAAGAGGAAAAAAAAGTTGATGACGACGCTTTGGGACTCCAGGGACTTCCCCCGATAGTTTGAGTGGGATGTGCCGCCCCCGCCGCCCCGTCGGAGCGCCGCCTAATGAGAGCCGCGACGGCCACCAAACTCGGGTGACCCGCACCCCGCCCCCGGTCTGCCCCCGCCCCGGCCCGCCCCCGTCCTTGAAGGCGTGTCTCTTGTCACTCATGTTCTAAAAAGCATACAAGCTATGTGAATAAAATATCTCACTCTAAATGAGTCTAAATAGATAAAGCCTCTCTGTATTTTAGTCATAATTTAAGTTATTGCTCTACTTGAGTGGGTTTGTAAAAACACTCTCTTCCCGCCTTGTTCAATTTGAGTCTTCACCTATATTATTTGGACGGGGATGGGACAAACACTAATCGACTGTTGGAAATGATTGTACAACTAATTTTTCCTAATGGAACTACATAGAACACATCACACAGATAGCATCAGTCATTTGTATTATTGAAGAACTCTAATCCAACACGGTATTGGATAAATTGCCTTCAACGGAAACACTTTCATCAAAGACTGGGTCTGACTGAGGTTAGCTAAGGCCAAACAGCCACACACAAGTTCAATGTTCAAAGTGCTTGCATTACAGGCACTAGCTGCCTTACTGTACTGTAGGTAAAAACTTACTTGTGCAACGTTACAGCAGGATCAACAGGGGGTTCGCCATGGGAGAGGTAGCGTAGCGTCCTAACCTCAAAGGCTGATGTGGTAGTGGCAGTCCATAACCGTTGCCTACTGAATGACGACGCAAGATTCCGCGGTTAATGAAACAAAAACTTGTTAGGAGATGATTATCCGAGAACAGCTCCAACTGCCATCAAAGTGTTCAACAGCGAAATTTCTTTAAAATTTGACTAGAAAGATATTTTGAGACGACGCCATGTTGCACTCCGCTCGCGACGACGACTGCCTTTTGTTTACTACTGGGGGCTGGGGTACAAGTGGCGCGCTCTTGCGGGGCGATTTTGAAGAAAGGAGCATTTTGGCATTCCCTCCGTCGGCTCACACGGAGGGAATGCCAACAGCGTCGTTCGTCGTGGCGAAGACCGTTCGCGTTCCGAACCACCAACCACCACCAGACTGGTGCCGTCCCCCGGTGCTTCAGCGGTGTGCTCGACAACGCGGTCCCCACCCTCCACACCGTCCTCACCTACGAGGACACCAACAGTGTCACAGTCATACACTGTCATTGACGAAACATAGGGGGGGGGGGCGCTTTTCGAAGGTCGACCGTTTAACCCACCAAGTATTTTTTGAAAAGGGAAACTATGCTTTTGTAGAATTCACGTATTCGTTGGAAGCCGTCTATAATACGCAGCCTGACGACAATATTGTTCAATGCAGCTTACGAAAAAAAAAGTATTATACAATTATACATAATCTGTGAACACAATTGTACGAAACGTGTGAACTTTCAAGGAACGAGAAGTACATAACAATTAACAATTTATTGTGTGGTCTGTCGTGCAGTTCGTAAAAAAAATACACGATGATCCGAAAGGAGATTTAACGACTCTTGACGTCCGCCGGTACGTTAGCGAAGCGGGCTGCGTGGCGAGACTGAGCGGAGCGCATCGTAACTATGACAGTCTGGCGTTGGTAGGGTTGGTCGCCACTCGTCCCCCCTCCCCCTCTTAAAACTCTCCCCGCCCTCTTCCGGGCGGCCGCGGGCGGCGGCGCCCCGCCCGCCCTATGCGCCTTGCCGCCCCCCACGCGAACGTGAACAGCAGGCTGCCCCACATTTTGACGCGCACGCAGAGCGGAGAAAGCAGTGTAAACACCGTTTTATCAGCAGTGCCCCCCTTCCAGACCGCTGTCGGTCGGCCGATGCTGCCGCTCCGACGCACTAAAAGGTATGGCTCTGGACGCGAGTGAACCCGGATATAGGGACGCCCTTCGCCCTATCTGCGCTGGCCGCGCACGGGAGAAACGTCAGCTCAAGTCATAGGAAATGTCACAGCAGGAGAAGATTAAAGTTGTTTCACTGCTTTTTTTCTGAAAATACATCGCACTATCATTCGCGGAATAGCGTCGTATCGAAATCGACATGGCTGGAATTTCAGTGTTTTAATACTTTATTTTTTATTTTAATTTTTCAAATACGTGCATGCCGCCGTTTTTCACGCGCGTGCACGGCACTTGGGCTCGCAGAGTGGGGGCGTGGCACACCCTGGGGGGCTCGCACTCCCTGATACTATTGTGGGGTGGCTGTTGCTCATGTGTGTGTGTGTGTGTGTGTGAGAGAGAGGGTGGAGGGGAGGGCGCGGTGGTGCTTGGGGGTAGTTTTCTCCCCCCCCCCTCCAATCCCCCGTATACTTCCCCGCGCACTTAACGCAGAGCTCATACAGAACGCGCCACTGAACCAGACGGAGTGGCTCCGCAACAGGCCAGTAATGCTACGCTATGAGTGTACCCCCCCTTTACACACACACATACATACAGTGGAGGAGAAAAGGGTGAGGGGGTGAAATAGTCCGGATACGCCAGTATCCGAGCGCGAGCAGAGTAAAAGGAGGGGGGTGGGGCAGAGCCCCCCTAGAAAATCTAACAGCACTAACGGCAGATACTTCGGGAGGAGGGCGAGGTGGAGGGGGGTGTAGGTGGCAGTAGAGCAAAAAGAGGGGGGAGGGAGGTGCGGGGAACCACTGCAATCTGTAGGCGTGGTGCGGCGGGGGCGGGGGCGTGGGCACGCCCTCTCGCCCGCCCCATCCAGCCCCGCCCCGCCAGCACCATCCCCTGGTCAGATCCGCATTCATTTTTGATAACCGACTCACGGCTACCTTTGCTACCTACACTCCCCTTTGTGTCCGAGGGGTTCCGAACGGGCTGGAAGAAAACAGACGAGGGGCGAACATTTCGTGAACAGTGTTCCGCGGCCGTGCAGCAGTCGACACACTGGCGCAGCAAGGGGGCGTGGTTAAGCGCGGGGAAGAGAATGCTCGAGTGGTGTGGTGGTGGAGGTTCGCTCTCGCTCTCTCTGTCGCAGGACCCCTGTCGACCTGAGGGTCGGCCACCCGCCCAGTAAGACTGCAATACATTGCCTAACTACCAGGCGTCTTCTTCCTCCGAAACTTCTCCTGATCATTTGAAAACAGCCTTTTCTAAAACTCCACTCTTTGGGACACGAACATCGACATCAAAACTGCATGAATACATATTTTGATCTAACGGAGTACAATTCATTTTCGGCTCTAGTTGTTACTGTAATTTTCCACTACACTGCACTAAATTAAACTCTTTATATTTGTCTCTCACTCTGTACTTCTTTTCTACTACCCTGGTCTTAGCTACGCCCCTGGTTTCGAACCCGTCGGGAGGCGGAGCCGAGTGAGGCAGGGAGCGATGGAAATCGAGTCATTTATAACGATTGCTCTCTCTCTCTCTCTCTCTCTCTCTCTCTCTCTCTCTCTCTCTCTCTCCCCTCTCCCTCCCTCTCCCTCTCTCTTTCTCTCGCGCGCAGAGGAGGCGGCTGCGGAGCGGGACGTGTTTGCCTCCCACTGACAGCCAAGACAATATTGCCATCAATTCGATGAAAAATTGAGCGGTCGGGGTCGGAGTGACGGTCTTACTGACAGTCTCATCGCGGTGACGGCGCCGCGGCAGCTAGAGAGGGACAGAGGAGGGTGCACTGCAAACCCTCGAGTAAAGGGTTGGGGTTTCGTGCTCGAAATGAGTGAGTCAAGTTTTCCTCCCCCGATTCAAGCGAGGATTTGTAAGGCTTGCGCCCACTTTCAGAGTCATATTCACCGAATTTTAACTCTATGTTAGTGCGAGATCTTTATGATTTCCCTCAACTGTTGTGGAGGAACCGAAACCTGACTCATATTAAGGAGGACCAGGACCCTCATTCATGACTCAAATCGAAAGAGAAAAATTATCTCCGTCTTCGGAGAGCAAAATATCTCACTATATAGTAATTACGTTGTGGGAAGGGGAGGGCGGGGGTAAGAGAGTAAGAGAAAGAGAGAAAAGAAAAAAATATCCTCGAGAAGAGATGGGGGCGGGGGCGGACAAGATGCGTGGCCGCGTCGGAAACGGGCGACCGACGAGCGACATAATAAAACAAACGCAAAGCCGCTGCTTTCAATCGGAGATGGGCGACGCATAACTTTCGGCGAGGACCTGCTCGCCTCGGCCGCCTCCACCTGAGCACCGGGCTGACGGGGGCCCCTTGTCTCTGCGGATGTAGGTCAAGTTAGCATTCGGAAAAGGCAAGGGGCCCCATGGAAATTAGACAACGGCCGACGAGTTTTCAAAGAATTGAGCAAATAGGTTTGTAGTCGAGGGGGGCGCACGGAAGTAAGGGCGGTTGTGTGCGGGAGAGGGTGGGGAAGGGGGAGCGGTTGCGGGCGGAGTGCAGGGGATGGGGATGGACAGGGAGGGGCGGAGAGAGAGGGGGGGAGGGGCGGACAGGAAGAGGCTGGGACATGACTAATACATGGCCCGGTGCACGAGAAGAAGATTGTTTGAAGTTGATGAAACTGTAATGAGCCGTGGGAGAATGTGGGCCGCGGACCATTGCCAACTGCTGCCAACTGCTCGCCGACAAGCATCAGCGCTGCCAACCAATTTGCACGGCGAGAGAGCAGCGCGCTACAGGCCGACAAACGGGCAGACAGACGGAAGGGTAGACACAAGGACGGGCAGACACGCACGACAACGTGCTCGCTTAAAACGATTCTCGGCAACAACCGGCAGCCGGTCAGCCTTTCCGAGTGTAGCCCCGCAGAGACGTGCCGTGCAGATAGGTTCTTCCCCGTCGAGGTGCTACTGGACACCCACCTCGTCATAGATGAAGTTGTCGATCTCCTCGAGCGGGCGGCCGTAGAGGTCCGACGGGAAGGGCTCGAACTTGCCGGGCAGGACGGAGCCGTCCTCGACGGACAGCTTGCGGCGCGGCTGGAAGCCGTAGTCGCGCACGAGCTGCACCGTCTTGCTCTCCAGCCGGTCCAGCGACTCCTTGGTGAAGGGCTTGACCTGCACCTTGACGGAGCCGCGGCCGCGCGTGCTCGCGTTGCTGTTGTACGCGCCGCCGCCACCGCCATTGCTGCCGTTGGTGCCGGCGGCGGCGGCCGCGCGGGCCGGGCGCGGGCCCTGCAGGGCCACCCGGGCCGGGTACATGTCTTACTGGGGGCGGCGACGGCCGGCGGGGGCCTGGGGGCGGCGGACTCCACAGACAGGCCCGGCCCGCCATGCCGACTCACGCGGCAGGCTCATTACAGCGCCACGTCGGCGCCACGGCCTAACACACAAACACACACACACGCACACGCACGCACACACCCGCACGCACGCGGGGCTGTCCCACGGCACTGCACCGAACTAGCGCGCCGCGCCGGCGGGCCGCGCACCGGACGACAGCGGACCGCGCCGCGGGGACCGGGCCTGCACGCACCGCTCAGCGCACCGGGACCGCTCAGCGCACCGCGGACCGGGGCAGGCGGAGCTCGCGGGGCACAGCGCTCGGGCCATGCTGCTCTGGCGCTAGCCCTAGCGCGACTGGAGTGGGCCCCGCGGCCCGCTGGGGAGGGGGTGGGGGGGACGCCCTGCCTGCGCTCCAGCCCCACCCCGCCCCGCCCCTGCGTGCAGCGCGCACCGCACCCCCGCCCCCCGGGCTGTGACTACAGAGAGAGCGCTACGCCGGCTAGCACCCCTAGGGGGCGGGGCGGGGCGGGGCGGGGTTGGGGCATCCACAGGGAACCCCTCCGACCTGCGGACACCTCTCCCCGCCGCTCCCCCTCGCGAGGGAAGAGGCTTGGCCACGGGCTTTGCCCCAGGCTTTGCAGTGGACTCGGATGGGCTTGGTATCGGCCACCTCCCCTTCTCGTCTTCCTCCTCCTCCTCCTCTCTCTCTCCAACAGGTTGCGAGACTCTTCCCGCCCCGGCCCTGCACCACGCCTCATCGCCCCGGCGGCCGGGGGGGCCGCCAAGAAAGAGCCGTAGAACTCGATACCCGATCGAGACATGACACCACGCCCGGGGCCCGGGAGCGGGTCCACAACGAGGGCGCCCCCGCAGTGCCGCCACAGCGCGCAACAAACTCGCCAACTTATAAGGTGTCCGCTCCTCCGCCAACTTCCGCACTCCGCGGAAAGCTCCGGGGGCTTATTTTCGTAAAGCTGGCCGTCGCAAGGGAGGCGAAACGCAGGTGGATTGTTTTTCGAGGCAAGAAGCTTTGCGCCGCTATCCCCCCACAGGGCTGCAGAGCACGCGAGTTCGCACGTCGCCGTCGCGTCTCCCCGGGGAGGGAGGGGCGAGGGGAGGAGAGGCGGCTCCTAGGGTGTTCGTGCAACCGCGACAACCAGCTCCTGAGGTGTCCGTGCAACCGCGACAAACATCTCTTGGCTTGTCCGTGCAACCGCGACAACCAGCACTAGGCTTGTCCGTGCAACCGCGACAATCATCTACGGGGGTGTCCTTGCAACCGCGACAACCAGCCCCTGGGGGGTTTCCGCGGCACGGTGGCGCGGCGTGTCCGAAGGCAGCAGTCAACCAGTCAACCCGACGCGAGCAGAAAAGCAAAAAGCCCAGAACAAAACAACGGCGGCAACGCGCGAGAACGAAAGGAGTCGCGCCATTATGGAAGGCAACATTGGCAAATTAAAACCCATTCAGTGTCTTAAAACTTGCGAAGGGCGCCCCGCCTCCGGCTTCGGCTGCTCCGGCGGCCCGGACGGCCCGCGAGGACCAGGACCGCCATCATCAGGGCCGCCGCCGGGGCCTGGAGCAGCAGTTAATGGCGTTTACTTTGCCAACAGATTATGTCTCTCGGCGTTTCGGACCGCGTCAATGAGCTGTTGCTGTTATTGCGCTAATGTTTCTCAGTGAGCAGGCCACGCCACGCCAAGCCACGCCACGCCTCGCCTCGCCAGGGGCCGGCGGGCGTGGCCGATCCGTTAACGACATAACGTTCCTGCTCCACCCCCGTCCCGTTCTGCAGCCCAGCCGACTCTGCCACCCAGTGCTCCACGTCACTGAACAGGACTAACTCAATTTTATCTGCTAATCGAATCCACTGCTGCTGCTGCATCTCTCTTGCTAATCGAGTATCACTCGCCGAGCAACACGCGCGCGCGAGCCGCTGTGTCATACATTATAGATAACTATTTAATTGCGGCAAACGCTTCGCCCGTTATCTATATCTCACTCCGCAAACAAAGTGCATTACAAGGGACGTTCGCACGCTCCAAGTGTGTGACAAACGAACGGCCCGCAAAAGAGTGTGCGACATAGATAACACTCTTTGTTCGCGACTTTTCGTCGTGGACGCGTTTCAAATGTAGGGGTTTCCGCACACTTTTACTTTTAAAGTGCGCGCTTGGAGAATTATGTAGCAGTTGGATCCGGCGTTTTTCTATTTATATATATATATATCTGAAAATCGATAGCGCCAGAAGCAGCGATTCCCGGCGGACTCGGCGGCCGCGCCTGGCTGGCCTGCACCAGACCAGGGATCTGCACCGAGCGCGGCTGAGGGGCGGAGCGAGGAGGGTAGGGTCGGGTAGGGTGGGGCCGCTACTGTGTCGCTCCCGCCTGAACCGTGAAAAAGAAGGTTGCAGAGAGAGGTCCTACCGATCCGCAGGCACCAAGCCGCTCACCAAAGCACCAGCCAGCATAGCGGCGAGATCCAGGTGGGGCAGCTCAAAGCCGCTACCCTACCGCCCTACACTCCACCCCCTCCCCCTCAACGCCCTGATAACAAAACCCACCAAGGCAGCAGGCCAGGAGGGGAGGGGGGCTGGCTTGCGACACCCCTACCCTACCGGGACCCCGACCCGACCGACCCCGCCCCGCCCCGCCAAGCCACGCCACACCGCGCCCCCTCGGCGCAGCGCCACGGGTGCCCACTTGCACGCAACCATGCCCACCAACTTTACGAGAATAATTATGGGAAAAAATGGGTGTCTTGTAAATATCGATTTAAATATCATTTCTGGCTGCGTTCGCTGCACGGTCCGGAGGGGCAGACAGAGGCGTGCCGCGGAGAAGGGGAAAAGGGCGCGAAAGCAGAGTTTCAAAGTTACTTCAATCCGGAAGTGCGCTACGCCTGCAGGGCGTGTGGCATGCACTGTGAAAAAAAGGAAAAACTTGTAATGCAAATGAGAATATCATGGCTAAATATTTTTACCATTTTCACACACAATCTCATAGCGGATTTCTCATCCTCCTGTCCATTTAATAGATGACAAAAAAAAAATATCCACAGCGAAATGGTTGAATTAAAAAAATTAGCTATGATATTCTCATTATTTACGTTACAAGTTTGTTTGTCTTTTTTACAGTGCGAGCTGGGAGGCGGCCCAGGCCCTTGTATTTGGAGGTAAGAGACACAGCAAAGTGAAGCGTGTACTTTGACGAAGCGAGGAGGCAGGGCACGGGGCACGGGTCACGGGTCAGCGGGGCAGCAGGCCACACGCCTCCCCCTCCCCCGGCTGCATATCTCTATACGGGTCCCCGTGCCCGGCCCAAAGGTGCCGGCACGGTATGGGGCCGCGGCCAGCACTCGCCACACAGCCCGCCTGCACTACTAGTACTCGGCTCGGCTGCTGTCAAGGGCTTGCTCGCGGAGACAAATGGTGCAGCTGCTTGGGGGGTTGGAAAAAAATAAAAAAGGGGGCGAGATCAATATAAGCGGCTTTGGCGACGCTAAGCGCTACAACGTGGCTCCGGCCCGTGGTGGGCCCGCGTTGGGGGAAGGGGGAGGAGGGGGGCACCCACGCCACGCCACGCCCCCTGGGCAGATGATACATGGGCAATAAGGAGCGGGGAAGCCAACTGCTTTACAGTTGCTTCCGTGGCACAGAACCATGCCATTGACAAAATGCCTCCCCCGCCTCCCCTCTTTCCATTTCCCCGTCGTCGGGCCGCCGCAACACCAACACCGCCACCGCGCGCCGCTTTTCTTTAGATTTCTTTTTACCACCCACTGCCGCCGTGCGGGGCCGTGCGGGATGGGGGGGAGGGGGCAGGGAGCATATGGATTGCAAAAAAAATATTCATAAAAAATGAGAGCACTCGCGGCTGGGCGTAAGTAAGGCGATCAGGACAAACAATTACGAGCGGTATCCGTCGTGATTTGTTTGCTATCTAAAGTGGGAGACTCACAGTTGCGCAGAGCCGCTATCTCGGTCCCTGATGATGGGCCCGCGCGGTCCAAAGGTCGCTCTCCGTCACGCACGAGCACGCCGCCACCAACCTGCTCGACTAGAGCGGGCAGCGGCGCGGGCGGCAGGAGACTTCCGCGTGACCCCATATGTCGGTTCGGGTCATCCAATGGGACACCATTCCGATTAAGGATGTACATAGGATTACGATGTAATCACGTAACGTGATTACAGGGATTTTACACGTGAATTTTGAGGGATCACGCGTGAATTTTGGTGAAATTCTGGGGTAATAACTATTCAATTTGAATAATGGGATGAAATGCAGTGATAATTTTTCACAATTATACACGAATCACAGGGATTTCCCCTTATCTGTACACAGGATGACGGGAATGGTGGTGGCCCCCTCGTGGGTCGTCCACCGCTCGCATTACCCGGCATCTCGCTCTGTCTTCTTCCCCGGAAAAACAGGTTGGTCACTTTAAAGTCATTTCGACGTCAATGACGTCCCTAATGACATCCCTTAAGCCAAAATAGTGACTAAAAATGGTGACTAGACGACGTCATTTTGATGTGCCTGTGACTATCCTGTTTTTTCCTTGGGTTATTTCGCGAAAATTTTCGAATAGCGTCCGGGCCAACAGGTAGGGCCGGGGCACCATAGGCCAGCGCACTGCATTGATTGTGTTGACCCACTCGATATCCGCGCTATGACGGATGGGATACCACCACAAGCAGATAGCGGCCTCCCCCAGAGGCAAGCTCAGGTCCTGGCGCATCCTTCAGTCGCGGCCCAGCAGCTCCGACCTCACGCAGCCATGGGTCCGTACTCCACCGCCCTCGTCCTCCTGGCCTGCGGCCTGGCCGCCGCACACGGTAAGTTGTCGCAAGGAATCCGATACAGCCGCACATGTTTTACAATGTGGTCAAGAAAGGCTCTGCGTGGTGCCACATCCAGAAAACCATTCCTTAGGTGATAAGAAATTCTATTTACTGTAACGAAAATTTTGTGTCAGAAACCAGAGTAAATAAATTTTTGGTTCAGATAACAAAAAGATTTATTTTATTTTACAAAAACACAGGGTTTTGTCAAATTGAAGAAAAAAAATGTTTGAGCTGGAGAAAATTTTTCTTTGATTCATCGAAAATTTCGCCGGTTAGTACAAAGTCATGATTTTGTTCCTAGAAAGGCACCCTTTTCATGATAGTGACAAAGAAGTGCTGCAATACTTAAAGTGCGCTTTTGTGTCGTAATTCATATTCAGGGCGATGGACAAAATTATGTCGCCCTATTTGGGTAATTAGCAAACGCAAAGCCTAATAAAGAGAATCATTTCAATTAATCAATTAATCGCCAATACCAAATACAAATTGCTGGACAAAAAGCCCTTCGGCATTCGAAGCGTCATTTGCAAAATATGCCACAGCGCTGCCGCCCCGCAGGGTTCCCCGCGAGGCCCTCGGCAGCTGGGGTGGCATCACGCCCTACATCGTGAACGGCACCAAGGCCGACATCAAGGACGTGCCCTACCAGGTAACTAACCACCGAGGAGACGGGTCGGGAAACTGGCAGCAGGACCGCCGCGAGGATCACCTTCTCACGTAAACTCTCGCTTCCCCTTAGCTCTCCATGGAGCAGCTCTTCATGCACGTGTGCGGCGCCTCCATCGTCAGCGAGAACTACGCCGTGAGCGCAGCCCACTGCGTGGCCGGGTAAGTCCCCGCGATGCTGCGGCTTCGGCCGGCCCCGGGGGCCCCTGTCAGGTCGGGGATAGGCAAACCCGGCACACACTGCTGCGCACCAGGCCCCCTGGTTGCCTGTCCGTGTTATCCACCCCACGTGTGCTACCACCGGGCAGTCTGAGCCCCTGTCAATTCGAGGGTAGGCAGGCCCGGTAGGCACGGCCGCGTGGCCGGCCGGTCGTTTGCCTACCCCTCAGGATGACAGCAACCTTGTTCCTCTCCCGGCCACAGCGCGAGCCCGTGGATGATCCGCGTGCGCGCTGGATCCACCTGGACCTTCCTGTTCAACTGGATGGGCAAGACCTCCGGCATCAAGAACGTCTGGTACCACTCCGGCTTCACCTTTGACAAGATGGACCATGACGTGTCCGTGCTGCAGCTCAAGAAGACCCTCTCCTTCGGGCCCACCATCCAGCCCATCGCGCTGCCCGCCGCCGGCGAGGAGCTGCCCTCGGGCGCCACGGGCGTCGTGTCCGGCTGGGGCACACTCTCGGTACGGCTCCCGACTGCTTTCGCACACTCGCCTTGATACGGGAGACTGACCTAGTTGACAATGCCACACACACAGGAGGGCGCACTGCTGACGGCCTTCCACCTGAGGAAGCTGGAGATCCCACTCTGGACCAAGGACGAGTGCGCCAAGCTGTACGCGAAGCCCCAGACCGCCGTCACGGAGAACATGCTCTGCGGAGGAAACTTCGAGGGTGACTCCTGCCAGGTGAGCAGGCTTTTTAAAGTTTATCGTGTCCGCACCCCAACGGCACCCTCCACTTTTGGTTCTCCTTGTTCCAGGGCGACTCTGGCGGCCCGCTGGTGTCAGGTGGAAAGCTTGTTGGTATTGTGTCATGGGGAGAGGGCTGCAACGAAAACGGCAAACCCGGTATCTACAGCAAGGTTTCATCAAGTGACATTCGCAGCTTCATTCAGGAGCACGCTAACCTGTAGGCAACAATCGGGTGTCTGGGACATCTGGGACTCGTCAAGTACACAGTAAAATCTGAAATGCCAGAGAAGGGAACATATTTATTTCTCCATTTCTCATCAATAACCACTCTGAAGCACATGCACACAAAAGAAAAATACTTAGTGAAAACATATATTAAAAATAGCATATTATAGTTTACATGATTTACTCAAACTACGGGTTAGATAACTGTAATAAAAAAGGGGTTTTAAATTATAAAAGTTTACACATGTATCACAGTATTACACTACTTGGTACACATCACAACCAAACAAAAGATGCACCAAACTTCAGTGTAGGGTCGCATAGAGGGGCGCTTATCACGTGTGGATAGCCATAGTAACAAATGTAAGAAGAAAATACCTTCTCTTAATCATGCACACCCTCGCCACGTAAAAGATAGCTACGGGCATTATTTCCATCTATAATAATACTAAGTGTTCGATGATGAGTGCCTGATTCAACTGGCCTAAACAGGACACTCATTGTTACATAAGAATTAGATGGAACATAAAATTTAGGAGTGGACACACTAAATGGAGATGTCAAATCAGATATTGAAACCTGAAACAAACAAGAATAACAAACAAGAATAACTATTCATAAATCTGCAATGCATTACAACAAATATTAGAACAGTAATCACAAGAGATGGATGAAACAATTAAAATTTTTACTTACAAGAGTTCTCTCACAAGATTGATTCTTGAATGTTATCTTTATTTTGCTCTTGTGACCTAGGGTTGTTGGTGGAAATTCCAGTGTATAAGATTGTGGTTCGTCACAAGAAACACTAGTAACAACCACTAAGTCATTTCTTGAGTCCAAGTCTGTCTGCTTGGAGGAGCTTCGTTTGGAAGCAGTTGAGACTGAAGAAAGTGGAGAATCTCCATTTTTCATTGGAAAAACGTCACTTGGCATGCCGGCAAGAATAGGACTGTCAATGAAATCTGAAGAGTCCATTGTCCTGTAGAGTACACTTGTCTTATAAGAAAAATGAAAGATATATTAGATACAGTTTAATTTCAAATAAGCTATGAGGTTACCTGTCATTGAACTGTGGTGAGTTGAACATAGCAGTTCTGAGAAAAAACACATACATTAGATTAGTCTACTAGTATGATAAAACCAAAATAAAACTATTTCAGTACATCAAAAATCACTTACTCATTAGCTACTAACTGGTCAAAAACTAAAGTAGCATCCATATCGAACATATTAAGTCTTTCCCGTTCTATTAAAACTGCCACTTTGAGGCGGCGTACTGCTTGTGCTAGTGCAGCCTCAGAGGACTTCATGGAGAAAATAACATAGATAGATATATACATACAAAAATACAACACAACATTAAAGACCTCAGCCGATTTACCTTGTTGTCTTTCAGCTCATGTCCAACTCCCAATTCACCACTGTAAAGGGTGCCCCATGATGAAAGAGGGCCACTTTTGTCTGACTTGTAGTACTTCATATAAATCCTGAAGAGACATTAAAAGAAAAGTTATTTTTCATACTAGAATTCTCCAGATACTGTCGCATTATCTCATCCTAGATTGTCGGTAATCACCTCCTGATACGCTGCCAAGTAGCTAGTTCAGACCATGAAAGCCAAATGTTACCAAGGAGCTGCATATCATCAGCATTCTTATTTAACCACTGCAATATATCGCGGCAAGGATCAAAGCGCACAACAATGCGTGACACTTCTCCTGGTAAAAGGGGAACTTCCTTAGGGGTTACATAAACTCCACAATCCTCAAAAGGCAACTCTGTAACATGAGAAAATTATCACAGTGAAAATTCATAATATATCTATAGATACAAAGTGAATAATCAATTTCTGCAGAGATTTACCTCCAGCTATCTGTAAGCTAATATACGCAGGAACTTTTCCAACATTTCGGACCGAAAATGTTGCTAATACTTGGGGAGCATCATTGGATGCATCAATATCAGATACCTCATGACGAGCATCATTATCTGACATGCACATATTCAAGAAGAGTTGCGACCACCGATCTTTGGATGCGCCTTCAACTGCTAACTCTGCCACACCTCCATACCCATACAACGCAATCTAGACAGATAGACAAAATGATGTCAAATGACATACTTGGTAAACAGAACTCCCTAAATACAATTGTTAACAAGTAAGTTACCAGTCTTCTATCCTCTGAAGATGAGACTGAACTTTCAGAAGTTGCAACACGACATATCACAAGTTTTCCAACAACAGGACCAATTGATTGGGGAGAAAATGCAACATGGATTCGCCGTGTTTCTTCAGAATGCAGAGTGAGCATTAGTTCTGATAATTTTTCTCCTCTTTCACCGAACAGCTAATACAGAAAATACATCAAGAAGATTTGAATACTTAATACAAAACACCTGGGTCCAAGAAAATAATATCAAAACCTATCATTAATAAAGGAGGCAAGAGAGTATGAACCACCTTGAAAGCTGTATTTGGAGAATTCACTAGGAGTCGTACACGAGCTGATGATCTATTGCGGAGTGCGAAGGTATGGGTCACACTTGAAGCAAGTGAAACAGATGCCCATGACAGCTGTGTATGGGTGCTGTCTATCTGAAGTGGACCTGATGTTACTGATGCTACATCTACAGACACACAAATACAAATGAATACAAATTAAAAAATTTACAAGACAGTTTACAACGTAAAATAATGTTAATTCAGTAGTACCAGTTTGTTTCGAAGAGCTTTTAGAGCATGATATTGCTGACCGAGACGAACCACAGTTACTTGGAGGACGTTCTATCAACAAACGATCACAAAATAAGTCAGAGCACAGAATACCACAAGCTAATGATTATAGACAACTGAAAAAAAGTGTTGAAACAAACCTCCAGACGTGTGATATTTCCAGTCCGACATCTGAGCTCTTGATTCAGTATCAGATGCTTGAGAGACTGATCTACGGTTCTGGGACTTATGACTTTGAGAACTACTTTCATTGTTGTGTTTGGAATCTGAGCTCTCATGTGACCCTTGAAATCTAACACTTTTATGATCAGAACCTTGAGAGCCACGACTCATTCTGCTATTGAGGTCTCCAGAACTACTTTCAGAGCCATGTATCCTCTGAGAGGAAAAACCTTTAATAGGCACTTGATTGATAGATGTTCTTTCACTACTTGGGTCCCTAGAAATCCTTTTAGGATGGGCTTTAGGTGTAGAAAAGTTTCTTAGTTGGGCTAATGTAGGAATCCCTCCTCTGGATGGAGGTGGCATGAAAGATGCAATAGATTCATCATCTCTCTCACTATACTCTGGGGCCACTTTCAGTGAATCAACATTTTTGTTCATGGAATTTGATATTTTCTGCTCATTTCGATTGGGTATATTTGATTCCTGGGCATTTTTAGAAGCCATGAAATATCCAGAGTTTCCAGTTTGTGTTATCTTTACATCATACGTAGTCTCTGCTTTCTTAGTGGCATTTGGAGTAATAGCATCATCATTTCCATAAAAGGATTCTGTTCCACTATTGTTTATTGATGAAACCCAGTCTTTAACTCTTTGATCACGAGATGGAGAAGTATTTGATTCGCCCAAACTTGCTATTTCTCCAGCACCTGACTTAAGAGTTGTTTTACTACTAGAGGTCTGGTTCAATTCATTTCTGGTTCCTTGTGATTTGTTTAACTCATTTCCAGTTGACTGGCGCAGTGGGTTACTTTGAGGTATCCTGCATCTGAATATTAATCAGCCTTATTAGCAAATAATAAACTCAAAGAATAAATTATCAATGAAAAGCTACTGACTTTTGCATGAAGTCATCCACAAGTTGACGGGCAGACTTGGGACCTGATGGCAAATCTTGCATTATTTTGACCATTTGGGAAATACTAACAAACTTCTCTCCGGAATCAAGGCTAAGGGATGACGAATTTAGATCTTTTATCCCAGCATCAGAGTCTCTTGGAAGAGACAGAGACATTGATAGTCTCGTAGATATAGAGTCTCTGATATCTGATGAGTGTGTTTGAGCATTGCTAGGCCTTGGACGAGGTGGTGGTGGAGGCATCAAGTCCATACTTCTCGATGCAGGATGCTCATTCTAAAAACAGATAAAATATCAGTTTAAAAAACAGCTCTTGAGGCTTATCGAAATTTGATGATTTAAAGCAAATATCATACGGTGGGGTGGCATACAGCATCAGAAGTGACTGATGCTGAAAAATCCATGGAATCAGCAAAGGAGGTATTCAGTGTTTTGTTTAATCCAGAATCACGAGTTGGAACCTCATCCACATAGGTTGCTGCAAAGAGAAGCAGCAAAGTTAGAAAGAAGCAATAGAAAAAGCAGCAAAAGGTGGGATGGACTTTGTATTGCTAAGCATACCTTGAGGACCGTTCATGTTTATCAAGGGAGGGTGAGGTCGCCTTTTAGGAGGGCTTTTAATCAAATTGCCAAAATTTGGGCGGTCAAGTTGTTCAGTATGTAGTTTAAAATATTCCCCTGCAGATAAGCGTCGTTTTCCAACATCTTCCATTGTACTGGAACTAAATCAGAGAGTGAGGTAGAGTCACAACATTTCAATAGCAAATAAGATGAGCAACAGTTCTACCCATACCTAATTGTAACTTCTCCTGATATGATACCAGACATGGTTGAGAGGTCGAGATTTTGAGTTAAATGCTCAAGCTCACAGACATTATCCTTTGAAACTTTTTCACTGTTTGTCGCTCCCGGCAAATCTTCAAAGTGCTGTCGCCATGAATTTTCATCCTGCTTCAATCGATCCATTGCCAAGTCTAAAAGTGAAATAATCCAAATGTGAGGGGTGATATACACTTCATACAAGTACATAATAGTGAGAGAAAAAAGCAATGTTACCAGCAGGTTGAAAATTTTCTGAGGAGTCAAGTACTGCAGGTGACCCAGAAAAGCTGAGAAAATTTGCAGCTCCAAAAGTGGCCTAAAATAATAATAAAGGACAAATAGAACGACTTACAAACGGTGTGGTCAAAAAGAACCAAAGATATCTTCCACACTCCTTACATTAGATGCAGGTGACTGTATCTGCTCGGTATTTGAAAAATAAGTCCCAACATCAGTAGCTTGGTTTGTATTGCAAGATTCTTCATTTTCAGATAACATTGACACACTATCAACATCAAACTCACTCACTGTAAAATAAAATGAAACCAATTGTATAAAATAAGTTTTGATATAATGTCACAAATGAATGAAAACTATGAAGTATACAAAGCAAACACTTACTTTGTGACATTCTAATGGAATCCATACTTCTATCAATGGTACGCTGAGCTAATGCTTTCTGCAAGCGAAGCCTCAAGTCTGCCTGCATGCTCAAAGAGTTGCGATGAGATAGTCTTGACTCTGAGTTAATAACTTTTGCACTAATGTCACTGCCTGCTTGCCGGTCCTTGTTAACTTTTTCATTGAGTGATAAGCGTGACAGGCTCATCTTACTTGAATGCTGGTATTTCATAAAAACAAACATGATTTAAAGATATATGAACTATGTACTGTTGATATTTGGTATTGACACTCACATTGATTGGCTCCTTGTTTTCTTTTCCATCCTGAGATAAAAAAGAAAACTCTTTGCGGAAGTTAGCAAATAACTCATTACTATTTAAAAATGAAGACGCTAAAATATCTGTCACCAAAAATAAACAAGTTGAAACAAACACACCCACTCATAAATACTGTGTCTAACACACCTATTCTAAAAGGACAAACCTTGGTCATCATCCAATTTAAGTATCCCAAGTGAAGAGTTGGCTTCACTGTCAGCTGCTGCACTTTCACGGCGATCATCATGCAGGTCTGCAACACTGGCTGCTTTACGGATTTGATGACTGCTTGATAAACGCTAAAGAGTAAAATTGATGGGCAACACGATTAGGATGTTAAGATACATAATTGGCAAGAAGTACTAAACAATAAATGATAATAATACCTGTTGCAGACCGTTTCCGGAATTTTCGTGAAATGTACCAAGCTGATCAGTCAATTGTCGCATATCATCAATGGCATTCGATAAGTAAGATGGAGATGGAACCTCGGACTGCATCAAGACATTTGATGTTACAGGGGGAAGCCTAGAACAAGAAAAATATCCATTGAAAGTTTAATTATTACTAGGAAATGACTTACCATAAAAGATTAGCAACACATTGTGTGTAAAAATGACATGTCTTACTACTAAAGAACTTACGATTCGTACGGCCTGCGATTGACAGTTGAGCTAGCCTGCGGTTTCGGAGTGTTGAGAATGCTGTTATCCATAGTTGGTAGATGATCCAGAGATATTTAACGTCAATTACAAAGAAAACTTTCTCCTTCTCAAAACAATTCTGTCATGCCTCAACACAATAACAACAAGATGACAATGAATCACTAGGAACAAGATGTTAAGACACATCCAACTTCATTCAATTCAAAAAAGCAAAAGAAGCAAAAAAAGAAGAAAATCGTAGAGTATAGGCAACTTTCAAACTGCAAAAGCACCAGTTCATGCACAACATCTTTTCTAAAATTTTGGTGAAAAAAGTTATTTGAACTCAAAACTTAGCACCAAATGCACTGATACTTTTAAAAAATTGATTTTCAAATGTTTGAAAGATACGCCTTTGGTTCCTACCTTTCTACCGTAGCTGCGAAGCAGCTACTTTTTATTTTACCTCACAGCCTTCATTTGTTTTTATCGTCTGTCAATCTAGAGACACCCACCAAACAGGAGACGTACATCTGTTAGGGGACTGGACACAGGAGCCGATCTTTCGACGATGCTTGGAAGAATCGAGCACACGCCTTCTACGAGAAACAACAACTTGCTTGAGCGGATGAGCGGGGTGGTGGGGGATGGTGGGGGAGGAAAGAGACCATAACCCCTACAGGGGTTTCAGTGCGGCGACAGAACGATTTACAAGAAAACTAGAGAACTATATTCGACATCTTCGTATCCAGGGAATCCACGATTAATTTTTCCTTGGGCATATAGGCTTCTTTTATTACATAAAGACGGAAACATCCCGTTTGACTGGAAATAGTAGCTCTCGTAAGCGTTCAGGCCTGCGTCGTCGTCGTCTGGTTGTTGTCCCTACCGCACCCTTCCCCTCCACCACCCTCCAGCCTACCCCCACCCATGGATACTGCCGAGCATCGTCGAAAGCAACGGATTCAGATAGACAGTTTTAAAAAGTTATTTACATTAAATTTATCGATGACAATTGCACTTTAAGCTGCGAGTGCCCCAGCATTCATCTTCTCTGAACTAGTAAATCCCGGTGGCATTGAAATCTAAGTAACCAATTTTCATGTAATCGTTCCGTTATTGCGGCCTGTAAAACCCCGCTGAGACCCTTTCCTATCCCTCTCAACTCTAGATCTCCTGCACCAAAACAAATAATGGTTCCCTTGTTTACCTGTTCAATTAGTTTACTGACACTTCTACTTGGATATGTCAGCAGCACTGATGTCGATCCTAGTCTATCACGTGCATGGGGACCCGGTTTGCACCCAGAATCAATCGTCTTGCCTGCTCGGTACTTCTTCATTCAAGCAGTCGACAAAAATAACATAAGGTAAGTCACAGTTAGGTTAGTAGCGAATTTTGTTTACCGGTACTTTCTGTTACGTTCTTTTCATTTTTTGAAATTGGTTGATGCAGCCTGCACACTTCACCTGGTGATGTATTTAAAGTCAAGATTCTGGGGAAGTCCCCAGATAGGGCATCAAGAGCAAGCTGGATACAAGTTATGGACCGAAAGGATGGTTCTTTCATTGTACGGTATAAACTCTACAACACTATGGAAGATTTAGAAATTCATGTGCAATTTAATGATAGACATTTATCTGGCTCTCCTTTTAAGACCAAAGGTAAGATTTAAGTGTAAATTGTACAAGGACTTCAAACTGATTTTCTTCTTTGTGTTTAATACACTTTTGATACTATTCTTACAGGATACTCCTATGCTGAGGAATGCAGTTGTCCAAGAAGTAGTTTGAATCAGTGGTTGGAGGTCGTAGAGTGTCCAAAGTATGATCAAATTGACAGAGACCTAAAAATATTTAAAAGAGTACAGTTTAGCAAGCTGTATCCGGTTATTATGCAAAGATTTAATCAACCTGAAAGTATGAGTGTTTGCAATTATATCATCAAAGAGAACAAGGTATATCATATTTCCAATGAAAACTTCAACATAAATGTTTTGACGTTACTCTTTGCTTTATGTTTAATTGCCATGCATTCAGATTTATCGCAGGTGCTTTGGAAAACATGTAGGTTTTAAGATGTTTGTTGATGCTATTCTGTTGTCAATGAGTCGGAAACTATATCTGCCTGACATGGAGTTTTTCTTTAATCTTGGGGACTGGCCCCTCTCTCCTTCAGCTGGTAGACCCCTGATTCCTCTCTTTTCTTGGTGTGGTTCAGATGATACTGTAGATATTCATGTCCCTACCTATGATATTACTGAGTCCAGCTTGCAATGTATGGGGCGGTAAGTTGAGCGTGAGCTGACACCTGAATTTCTTAAATTAGTGGTTTTGAAAGTAGAGCCATTTCATCTTTTCACAGTGTGATGCTAGATATGCTCTCAGTTCAAACTAATGTAGAGCTACCATGGGATGAAAGGGTGACCAAAGCTTTCTGGCGAGGCAGAGATTCAAGGAGAGAGCGTTTGCATCTTGTATCCCTATCGAGGGAACATCCCGATCTCCTAAATGCATCTCTTACTAATTTCTTTTTCTTCAGAAATGAAGAAGAGACTTATGGACCCAAAGAAAAGCATATTTCATTCTTCAAGTTTTTTGATGTAAGCATGTGCTTTAGTCTATTTCATTTCTTTCTACTGGAGCAGTACATGTATTTCATGCCATTGCTTTTTCCCAGTACAAGTACCAGGTTAATGTAGATGGTACGGTTGCTGCATTCCGATTTCCGTACCTTCTTGGTGGAGGGTCCATGGTCATCAAGCAAGAGTCAAAGTATCATGAACATTTTTATAGTCTAGTAAGACCATGGGTACATTATGTGCCGGTCAGACATGATCTATCCGACTTAGTCGACCGCATTCATTGGGCACAAGATAATGATGAGAAAGCATTAAAAATTGCTCTTGCAGGACAGAAGTTTGCGCAAGAGAATCTCCTTCCATTAGATGTGTTTTGTTATCATGGCCGGCTTTTTCAGGTGAGCTGTGCTAACATTCAATAAACAAATTCAAAGGGAATACAAATTAAGATTGGTTTCTTTCTGCTTCCTAGGAATGGGCAAAGAGACTAGTAGATCCAGTTGAAATACGTCCTGAAATGGAATTGGTGTCCCAACCTTCTGAGTCTTCAAAGTGTGTTTGTGAAAGCATGTTAGTCAAAGATGAGTTATAAATGTAGACTGTTAGTGTTCTTAATTCATTTATGTTCAGATCAAAATTATTGTTTTTACAAGTGCTTGAATCAAGCAGAATTTCTATATCTATATCATTCTTCTGAAATGTGTAAGTAGTTGGGAAAGGAAATATTCCATTAATACTAATAGTAATAAAACTCATTGAATATCAAAAGTTCAAATTTTACTTCAGATATACACAAATAGTCAACTGAATAAAAAATTGTGAAAGATCATCTTCATTTTCTCTGGGATGAATCATTCATTGATAAAAAGTAAAAGAGGGCCTCTTGAAATTTTCATCTGATTTATGAATGATGGAAGGAAACAATAAACAATCAATTACTGCAAAATATATTGGAGAGTATGATGAATTGAAGTCATATGCTCAGAAGTGAAACCATGTAATATATATATATGGCAGCAGTGAATCAGACAGAATGTGTTGAGGTGTTGAAGAATACTAAAAAGATAATTTACAAGAAAGATTTTTTTTTTAAAGGAAAAGGGAACTTTCAGTTAAAAATTTTGCATTTTTAAGGCAATCCTAATTCTAAAAAGAATTAAAACACACTTTTTGAGTGGAATAACGGATGTTGGTGTGGTAATTGACTTTACTAATCCAGAACAGTAAAGTAAAAGCCTTGGAAATGGGGACGCATAATAGGTATAGTAGCAAATATTAACATGCTAATTTTCTTTTTAAAAGAAGACAGAATTGGGAAGAGGGCAATGTGATGTCAATGAATGTCTAGCTAACTCTATTGAATTCAAAATTGTCAAAACAGCTTACTAAAGGCTCTTCACGGAAAAGAAATCAGGAAGAGGATACAATCATAAATCATCAAGAACAGAATTAAACCCGTTACGACGGGGAATAATGATTAATCACTTACCTACCAAGTGAAAGAAAGCTGGCAATGCCTTAAAATTTGAGTTACTGGTGTTAGTGAACAACAACTTACTTGAAATCTTAATCACAGCGGAATTTAACAGTAAAACGAACATGTTACATAACAAAATGACAAACAAATGAACAGAGATAAAGTTAAAAATAAACAAAAATTTACAATAAAATTTTAATTAAAAGTCAGAAACAACAATATTGTAAATCATAAATGAGATCTTACATGAGTTCTTCACTATCTCAGTTGCATTTTTGAACAGAATAGTTTGTTCATAGACAAGTGAGACGTGCTATATAAAGTGAGTCATAGAAAGAAGAAAGACTAAGAAAAAATTAAAATATAATACAGAACATTTAAGTCCTTATAAATCTGCGAATGAATGGGCAAACATGGGCCCTCAGCAAACAGTTGGGGCAAGCCCAATGAATGAGATATGATGTACTGAATTCTGTTGGGCATAAAAGGCAACAGAAAAAGCACACATTATGTCTTAAGAGAATCAGAATGCAAGCTCATTAATGATGTCTCCTCCAGTGGAAAGACAGACATCATAAATTAATACGACTCACATTGACCATACCCTACGCTCTAGGGTAGAAATGCAGATGACATATTACAGGGAGAAATATAACCATCCAAGTGGTCTAAATCTAGTGCAGTTATAAAATATCCAATTCAGTCAAAACTCTTAAACCCAAAGAAATCTGAATGTGACAAGTAACAAATATACAAGTACAGATTATACTGAGGTTTACAAGTCAAACAAGTTATTTTGCATTTTACAACGCTAATTTTGATTTCATTTAGAGAAATGTGTCACACATGTCTCTGAGCAAATATTATTCTATAAATCTAGAGCTGTACATTTATTTACAACAAATTTCAGATGAACCACTTTTTGGCCAAAATATGTTGATAACTACCCATTTGTAAAAAATATATAACTAAGGAGTAGCAACTTTAAGAGGTTCATTCATTGCAAATGTCAAAACTAAAAAATGATGTTGATTGCACAAAGGATAACCTTTTGAGAGGTGTTTTTGTTTTTAAAATAAATATAATAGTGTACCAGTAAATAATGGAAATTTCAAAAAGAGCAACAACTAAAAATAGATACTTTTTGGTATGAAAAGCTTTTTACAATAATGTTAAGAGTTTCTAATTATTATAATACACTACTTTGTACTTCTGTACTCTACCCTCTAGAAAAACCACCACACAGCTAGCGCAGGACTATTTCTGAAATCTCCAAGAGCAAAGATACTAGATTTCTTAATGCTGGCATTCAAATGAAAGGAAATTTATAGCCGAGATCGAGATGATAAAATAGAGCAACTCAGGTGCCTTCTGAAAATTTAGGAAAATGTCACTGTTTCAATGGTTGTTAACAAAAAAGTTTATGTTCTCAACTCCTGGGCAGGCAGTTTCCAACTGATTTTTAAAGACACTATTTTTAACTATCCACATATATACTATGACTTTCCTAATTGTGATAACTAGTAACCTGTGGAATTTTCTTTAGAATCAGCTTGACAATAACACATCATTAAATTCTGTTTAACAATCATTAGAGCTTGATATTTTAGAGGATCCTTTGGATAACAAGAACAATGTCAGTCTAGATTTTGCAGAGGTTTGTCAAAAAAATATATTTGTTGACTGGACAAGTCAAACCTTTGAGCACCGATTGTCAAAAAAATCGATACGCTGATCTATCTAATTAGACACATGACGCACAAGTGCATTGGACCCATGCAATCGTCATGACAGAATGCCCCACACTGTTTACACATTACCATGGCTTTCAAATTACATGCACAATCATTTTTGGGTCCATTTCCTTCACTCACTGTTTCATGTGAATGATCCTGCAGTGCTTGACCTGGACTTCCTCCACTACTTATTAGGCTTTGGCCCTGTCCATGTAGAATTACCTGTACAAACCAGTGGAAAGACTATCATAATTCCATGCCCTTTTCCCTTGTTCACAAACAGAAGATTGGATAAGTTACTTGCAACGAACCTGAGGGTATGCACCAGGTATATGGTCTGGCATAGTAGGGACTGAATACCCTTCTTGTCCACTTCTTGTTACAGCTTGAACACCAGGACTAGGTCCCTATAAGTTGGTAAAAGAGGTTGTGTTAAGTCAAGTACAAAAAGAAGAAAACTAGGTTGGCAATAATTTATTCATCATGAGTTAGTCTACCTGTTGTCCATATACCTGCTGGTGAGGCTGAGAACAATCTGCATCAACACTAGAGGGTCTGCCCCTAACTGCTCCAACAACTCCACTCAAAGCCTGAATCAATGATGAAAAAAAGAAACATGACAAAATGTTTCTGATTCAAATGTTCCAAAGAGATGGTCATTCCACAACTAAAAGCATATCAGTAGTTACCTGGTTATTGGAGGGTGGTGCACTTGATGCTCGTGGCGGTGTCCCTCTTTTTAGAGTTCTTTGATCAGCACGTTGTAGTAGTATGTACTGAGCCATTTGTCCAACAGCAGGGGCAATATTTTCACCTCCCTAAGGTAAGTTATGATTGAAACAACATGCCATAAAATTACAAGAACTACACAATTAATAACAGCAGACAAAATAAAGAATTGCTTGGTCCTACCTCTGAAGAGGATGCAGATTGTGACTGGGGAAGTACAGCCATTGTCACAGGAATACCTTGCTGTGAAGTGAAGACATGTCTCACTAGAACAGGTGGAGATGGTTGTCTTGCTTTTCCTTGTTTAACAATAAGTGCAGGTGCTGGACTCAGACTAGATCCAGGACAACTAACTAATGGCACTACTGAAGGCGTGACATTAGGAGAAACATTTCTAGGTCCTCGAGATGAGGTCACTGCACCATATTGAGTTTGAGCAGAGCTTGCCCTCTCAGCTGAATTGTCATTTGAAGGCTTTGCAGTATTGCTCGCTAAAAGGGAAGGAGGTGGTTTGAGTTGAAATCGCAACTGATCCCGATTGGGTGAGTTTTGGATCACAGCCTGACAAATTTGGTAACTTCTCTCTAAATTAACAGCTCCAGGTGGAGGTTTAGAGGAATTGTTACGTCGACCCTGAAAGATTAAATCATATAGTAGATAAAACATCATTCAGTACATTTTACAGTAAATATAAATAGACACATCAGGCATATACCTTCCCTAACTGTCCAGTATCTTTATTTCTTTGTTTTGGACGAAACTGAGGGGTTGCCTGAGGTAGAGTAGAAGTAGGCGTTGCAAGAGTGCGCAGTGGGGTATTGCTTGAGAGAGCTATATATGGTAAAGCACTTGAGCTAACAATGTTACTTCCTGCAGCCCGCACAACTATTCCAGCGCTGGGTGGGACAAGAGGTGCTGTTACACTGGGTCTTATTGATTGTGTGTTACTGGACATTGCCTGCACAAAAAGATTGGGAAAATAAAATTAAGGTGTGAAGAAATAGAAAAAACAAACGAATATAGTAATTTTCAAGAAATTAAAAATAGTTTTGAAATGTAATACTTACAGATGAGAGGCAGACTATGGTTGGGGGAGGTATCACATTTGGGACAGATGTGTGGGCTGCGCTGCTAGAACTCACTGTCCCTTCAGTGCTAGCATGGACATCAGGAGTAACTGTAACTGAAATAAGTATTCAGGTACGTATTTTCCAATACACTAACACAGCACTATTAGATACCTGTAAACACAGGGTAGCCAAGCAACAAAAGTTGTGAAACTCCCTGACTTTTCTCTGAATTTATGTGATATTTTCTGAGTGTCTTTTAAACCACACATAATATAAGCTAACACATCACCCGAAACTCCAAAACAAACACAATGTGATATTGTAATTTCCCCGAACATTTTTTTTTTTCCTGATTTCAAGGTTGCATGACTACCCAGATACATAAAATTCATTTACCTTCAAGCTCCAATTTTACTTGATCAGTTTGCACTTCTGAGAACTGATCAGCTGATGTTCCAGCAACATTTATTTCATTGTCAACTTTACTCGGTAAATTTCTAATACTCTCCAATTCTCTGTCACATCTCTGGGAGCCAAAATTTATACTACTGGGTGATATACTAATTGCAGAGGTACAACTTGAGAAATTAGTAGCTGATAAGGCTGCATGAGATGTAAATGAGCTTTCCTCCATTGGCATAACAGAAACACTACATTCTGCTATGTCATCTACTCTTTCTCTTTGTTCCAGTCCATCTACAGCATTAGCATGTGCCTCTAAATCTTCTAATAGCTTTTCTGTACTTGAATCTACTCCATCCCAGTCAGAGTCAATTTGTGGAGCACTTGTGGAGGAGAGATCACTTGCATCCACAAATGTTTTGCTCACAGAAATTTCACACTCTGGGGATCCAATATCACTAGTATCCTCCACTGCATCATTACTATCTTCATCATCACTTGGTTCTCCATTCTCATCCTCCTCAGCAATATCATCCTCATCTCTTGAACTTCTAGCATCATCAAGACCTATATCTTCACAACTATCCCTTTGAACAGTGTTTGTAATCAATGTTGGCCCATGACTTCCATCTTCAAGGCATAAACCACCAGAATTCAAGTTTTCAGTTTTCTTTTCAATTGGCAGACTATGATCCTCGCAGCCTTCACACAGCCCTACATTTTCTTCTCTGGTTCTACACAAGCTAGCTGGTTCTGAAAAATGTTCATTGTTGTCATCTTCTTCGGTATCAATTGCCATAGCTTCATCACTCACTTTGTCGATTTCAAATTGGTCTTTGAGCTCCTTATTTTCTGATGAATTATCAGGTGCATTTGTTATTGGATTTTCAAAAGTTCCAAACAGTTCTGTTACAGAGTCTGTACTACTGCTGCTACTAACATTAACAACTGTTAATTTTTCATCAGTGGTTTTCACAATTTGATCTTTCTCCTCACTATGATTTCCATGGCTCTTACTGTCAACAGCAATATTATTATCATTTTCCCTACAAGCAGCTGTTTCCTCATTAAAATCATGAATTTTTTCAGGCTTTTCATCATATTTGGATATTTCTTCATGAACAAATGGTTTGTTGTCGTAATTTGCAAAGATAGTATCATGACTTTCCTTTTCAGAGGAATTCTCTATTAGAGCAGGTGAAACGTTAGAAGGAACCAATTCAGCTGCAGGACTCTCTGCCCCTCCTTCCTCATCAATGCAGTCTGAACGCACAACATTTACCTCAGAAATTGCATCTCCTCCCTCAAATGGACTCTCCCTATCATCATTTGGAGTGGGAGTTACTTTTCCTGATGTCTGGACACAATCCATTTCCATACTTGATACATCATCCATAGTTCTATCTTCACTTAATAGGGACTCTTCTGCCTCTGCTTCTGTGTCATCATAAACTGATGTTCCATCACCTCCAACTGTAACTATCTCGAGAAGACTTGATCCATCTCCAACTTCACTAGCTCTGTCATTCCATTCTCCAACTGAAATCCACAGAAAAAGGTTCAAGAAACATTTAAGAAAAGAAAACCAATTAGTTAGGTAATTTTGAAAAAATGAAGAAAATACATACGTAAGACATTTGGTTTTAATGATACATGTTGGCTAGGACTGGTGTCAGATGGCCTAAGTTTTTTGCAAATTTCAATTTCTTCTCCATCTCCTTCCCTGGACCTTTTCTGAGAGTTTGAATCAGGTTGTAAACAGTTAATATTTTCCTCAGATTTAAAATCGTCATCTTCTGAAACCAACTCAACATCTGCTTCAATGGCTTTTTCAAAACTGCTGTCCAAGCTTGTATCAATATCCTCTTCATTTCTTGAAGCACCAAGTAAACTGATGCAGAAAGAATATTAAAGAATTGTAAGTATATAACCCAATGTATAAAAGAGATAGATTTAAAAAAGACTTACTCAGACTCAACAGAATCATGATGAACAGTTGACTTTATTACATCTTGAGAACAGGTGGGAATCGATGAGCTTGTTACTGATGATGGGGTGGCTAAAGTTGATGAAGGTACAGTTACAGTGACAGTATCAGCAGGATCAGGAGGTTCAGAAGTTTTAACAAGTTCTGCTGACAATCTCAATTTTTCTGCTTTAACCAACTCATTGACTGGTTTAGCTTGTCCTATTGACGATTTAGCTAATGTTATTGAAGTAGGAATAACGGGTGGTGTGGATGTAGTGGAGGCTGCTTTCATTGATGAAGTACAGGTCACTGCTGAAGAGGCAGCATTAGCAACTACATCACGATAATTAGCAATAGCCCGGGTAACTGCACCATCAGACCGCAAGCGGCGAGCCAATTGAACAGGATCCACAGGGGCAGGAGTTGGTGCAAGTTTTTCATTTGAAACTGAGACTGTACTGGTATGTCGTAACTTAATTGTTGTACGAATTGGAGCACGGCTGACATTTTCAACAGTATTTTCTGGATGATGAGAAGGTGGTGGGTTAGGTTGTAATGCCGGCCGATGACGCCAACCCCAAATTGGTTCAAAATGTTTTAGCTGAAGAAAACAACAGAAACACAAATTAATGAGCTATAGAAGCACAACATTATAGTAGAGCTGGTTTTTGAAAATATAAACAAACTAAAAAGAAAGGTGATTCTACCTTCCAGGGATCCAGGCGATTTTTTTCTCTTTCTGCTTCGGCTCTTAGTCTCTGTTGGTTTTCAGTTGTGAATTCACCTTCAGAAAGTCTATCTCTCCATTCATGACAAGCTCTAGCAAAAAATTCATTGTTCAATCCAGAGGGCGTTATTTTGCTGTAAGTAATCAGAATTGTGCTCATTAGAATATAATTTACAAATGAAATTAGAGGCTCCCATACACAGCATCAACAAACCTTAATCCGCTCGGACTATGAACTCGATCAACTGGGGGTAAGAGCTGAGTGAGTTTGTGTTGATAGAGGGGCGGTAGCATACTGAGAGTATGCTTATTCAGAAGAGCTCGCAGATTAGTATTAACAAGTATTGAGTCTGGAGTCTCTAAATCTATTAGACCCTCTTCAGTTTGTCGTAACTGTGCAGCAGCAGACAACTTTTTTGTACTCTGCTTTGTATTTCGCTTTAAACCACGCTTGTTCCGCCTCATCCTAAAGCCTGGGATTGAAGCTAATACTTCACGCATGGTGGATTGATGAGTGACACCACTTGCTGCGGAGGACAAAAATAAAATAATATGGTGTAAAGCAGTTCATATAAACAAACATAAATACTACAGAAGATGAATTCTTTTACTCTCACTATATTAAAAAATATAAAATGAACTCAATAACTTACCATACATAAGATGATGATTATTGATGCCATCCTCGCCTTCTTCTATATCTTCAGGTTCTTCGGCTTCCTCCATATCATCATCATCATGTTCAAGATCTAGTCCAATGTCAGGAAGGACAACTACCTCCTCCTCTTCATTCAAAAGGTCAATTATTTCAGGATCCTCTTTATGTTTTTCTGTGTCATTACTTGGACATTTAGTGGAAGCTTGGGTTAAACTGTTAAAAGATTGATGGTGAACAGTGTGTTGAGTCCGAATGGATCTAACATTCAATCTGGCAGGACTGGCACTGGCAAGATGTAGGCCTGCTGCAATAGTTGTATTTTTACGGCGCCTTTTGGCTTGTTGTCGTAATGCATGTTTACTTCCGCTAATTCTTTTGCTAAGAGGAGTAACAGATGATTGAGCAAAAGATTGCTGAGAACAAGTGGCCTTTGTTTGAGAAGCCGGAAGAAGAGAGATTGGTACTTGTGTGATTGACACTTTTGCATCCTTTGATGTACTTGGGTAGTTCTGGGAATAAGATATGAAAGATTATGCAGCTATAACTATAAAACAACATCCACAACTAAACCTTTAAAATCTCATGGAAAAAATAAATATTCAAGCCATAAAGAATTTTTAATTTCTATTTCTTCAGTAAAAATACTTGCCAGAGCATCTCCAACAGAAGGCTGCATGAGAGGATCAACTGATTCCGGCACTCCATCTCCGTCTCCTCCATCGGTTGCTTCCATATTGTTTTGTCCCTTTCGAGGACCAACACAGCCTCATTACGATGAGGCACGACAGTCTTTCAAAGGACTCATACCGTAGCAACGTACCTAAATTAAACGAAAAGGATACCAAATAAGATATTAGCTTGAGAAATTTCTTAATTTGAAAAGTTAAGTACAGATTGAAAAGTATAATTCTCTCATCAAACTAACAAAATGAGTAACAAATGTTTTTATAAAAATAGGGGAGGCCTGATGAAAAAACAAAAAACAATAATACTTCACAGGAGGGAACATAGAAAGGTGCAAGTATTCTACTGTTCATGACCACAAAAAATTATTAAAAGGAACGGTAACTAGGCAAAAAATTTCTAACATGTATGATAATTTTGAATTACTGATACAATTAAGTTTTACAGTTTCTAATGTATTAAAGAAAGTTGAGGGAAAATCGGCAAAATGCATTTTGTTGAAGGGTAAATTCTTGGAAGTTGATGCCAAGTAAGTGACGAGCAAGGACAGGCTTACTTTCTCACGCTTTGATCTGTTGCTGAAACTTTCTTAAAACATGACATTTGCAGAGATTTTGACACAATTCATTGACATCAGGCTGATGACAACAAAGTACATTGACATTAAGATTTTTAAAAATGGGAAGGTTTCTCTGCGCCCAGTGGAGACGATAATAAAGAGGTCAGGTGAAAATGCTAAAAAAAAACTTGCAATAGATACTGAAAGTGAAAAATGAAAAGCCTGACTAGCTTTCCAGGCGCAACATAGTTGGGCCTAGCATAAAGCGTTTTGAAGCGTCGGGACAGCTAGCAGAAGTCAATACTCACAGTTTTAACAGTTTCACCCCATCTCACTATTTTGTGTCTCAATTCAGGAAATACAACTGGGTTCTATGCCAGTGTAAACATGCGAGTGACTTGTAAATCACAACAAGAACCGTAACAGTAAATCGTCAAATTTTCGACAAAGCCGTTTCTTTATGTCAACATAACCCGACATTGTCTACACAGAAACATGGGTGCTTTCCTTAATCATTCCGCTCCGTTTCGAGCTAACGAGTGGGCACATTGACCAGGGGTGTATCCCCTACCGCCTCTGCGCCCCTGCAGCGAGACTACCGAAAAACATAACCACCATCATGGCGCTTCTTAGACACTGTTTGCAAAAATCGCTTCAACGAAATAATGTACCGTTTTGCACGTTCGCATCGTCTAAAGTCACATTTAGGAAGCAGGGGAATGAGTTAATGCCATGTAGGGCTTACTTTCACAGAGTGACAAACTCGGAAAGAATGGCAAGAGCTCTGCCCAAGTGTTGTAGTTGGGGTGAAAGCAGACACGACCATGGAAAGCAGAAGAAATCCAACTCTCCTTATTCGCTTATGTTCGTCCCCGCTATTTTTAAAGGCTTGTTTCCTGGTGAGGAAGCCGAAGAAACCAACCCTGAGTCTAAACTTGTGAATCTCATCAAGCGGAGTATTCTACTAATGCAGGCAAGAATCAAAATTTAGTGTAAAACTATTTGTTACTTGACGAATATTCTCTTCGAATATATGATATTGTTATGTACGTTTTCAATTGGAACGGTTCCTGGTATTTTCAGAAAGGGGAACCAGAGAAAGCAGAACGCCTACTTCATATTGCCTTGAAAATGGCCCAAGATCTTAAACATGAAAAAGGTATTACATATGTTTATGATACTATGGCTAATTTGGCTTTTGAGAATGGTGAATACTCAAAAGCACAAGGGCTCTTTGTTGAAGTCTTACGAAGATTAATAGGCAGTGGCCTCTCTCAAGATGATATGATAGTTGTTAATATTAGCCTCAAAATTGCAGATACTTTTGTAGCTCTTTCAGATTATGAGTGAGTTACATGATCTTTTCATTTTTACTCTCATCTAAATTACTTGATGCTGATTTATCATGTTTTTTACACCACAGGAAAGGGGAACAGGGGTTCTTGTTTTGTATAGACACTTTAACAAAGAAAATATCTGAGGGCGCTTCTGATGAAGACACATCAATGCTCCTCGCTCAGAGTTTAGATCGTTACAGTTTGTATCTTCTACATGCAAGACGTCCCAAAGAAGCTGCCAAACACATAGAAAAGGCAGTAGAAATAGCAGAGTCTATTCTAGGCAGTTTAGACAACAAAATTGGGGTGAGTATATTTTTCTAATTTTTCCATTTGATTGCAGTGTTCTTACTCTGCTCATAATTATTTTGTTTTGTAGGCAATTCTTTTATCAGATATGGGAGTTATAAAGACAGCAGCTGGTGAAAGTGAAGTAGCTAATCAGTGCTTCGAGAAAGCTCTCCAAATTGCTAACAGGGATGAGGTAGACACCAGTGTTGCTGTGATAATGGTAAATCGAGGTATAGCACTAAGGGATAACGGCATCCATGAAGAGGCCAAGCATTGGTGTGAATTGGGACTCCAAAATGCTTTAAAGGAAAATAATAAATCAATTTTGAAAGCTGCCCAGGAATGCCTCAAAGACAATAAGAATGAAAAACCTAGAAACTATAAAAAAGTCTAATTCTATGTGCATTCCAAGGAAAACCATTTCTATTCAACGAAGATTTAAAATTAAATCAATCCAATAGGATGCCTTGTTAAGTGACTAGGAGACCTCATAAACGTGTATTTAATTGAAATAAAATATTTACTTTTAATGTGCGTATGAATAAATGGTTTCAAATATTTACACATGAGTACAAGATTAATGTTGGCAAGTTAAAAACTGAATTTGTGATTACTTATTATGCTCTACAATACAAACAATAATCACAGACCAAAACAAATATCACAAAATAATTTTAAACTTTTTGATCGTCAAAAACAATAATTTAACATTTTGTAGCACACATTTGCTAACAGTCACAATCATTACAGGAAAAAAAATCAGGATACACATCATGGTAAAATTGATTTACCAAAGGTACACTTAGTCAATGTCACCTGGTCGTAACTGCCGTTCACCTTCACACAAAAAGATGCGCATTGCTCTGTACAACAAGTAAACACCGAGCTGCTTTTTCTGACGAGTTCGCCAAGTCGAGGCTGGTCCATAGTATTCTCCACCTTTTAAATTAACAAGGTTGTTAATTCCCATTGCATCTATCATAGCTGCTTCCCGAGTTAAGGCTTCAACTGGAATAATGTTTTGAAATATATGAAGGCATACAACTCCATGTCCATCTTTCCAAATGTCAAGAATGCGTTGAATCTGAAACAGGGAAATTTTCTTTAAGATGCTTCAATGTTTTATTCTACAATGATAAGGATAATCAATCATAACAAGTGAGTTTTACCTTAGAATTACTACTTTTGCCATTTTCTCCTTTATTCCACAAGTGCACAGCTTGGTACAGATGCGCATAAGGTCTGGAGCGTTTTCCTTTTCCAATATAAAATACAGAAGAAATAAATTGACGCCATGTTTCGAGGTCATGTGCAGCTACCTTTGCAGGTAAATTGTTACTTAAACGAGGATCAAGAAGCAAGTAGTTGAAAGAAGATTTAGCCACACCCTCGCGCCATCTTCTGTTTGGATCAGGTTTCTCAAAAGGAATGGACATGAGCTTTTCAAACTTGGCATACGTAAGTACATCAGTTTCCCAGTCACTGTTGTGCAGCACACGTTGTAGTTCAGATGGGTAGTTTGATGATACTGACACAGAAGTAGGCTTGCATTTGCTTTTCTTTAAACGATACAATCTCCGCAAGTACACTTTTTTGGTTGTAGACGTTATAGGCCCAACAACCTCTCCAAAGGACACCAATTCTTTTCGCAGTGTTACAGCATCATAGCTAAAACTAGCAGGAACCGATGATACATCTGAGGTGGCAGTGGGAGCATCACTGAGAACTGTGAGAGGAGCTGAAACCACACTGTCGGTGTCAGAAGGACTGGGAACATCAATTGGCTTGGTGAACAGATGATTTTCAATTAAAACGACACCTGCTTCATCATCTGTGTAACGGTACTCTTCAGCTATTATTGTACCAAAGGAAGCTGTTGATGATGCTTGAGATGGTACACTTCCTGCCAGAGTTCTATTCAGGGCTTGGGACCGTTTTCTTCTTGGTGGGCGTTGGGGAGCATCAGAGGTTTCCACAGGAAGTACTAATGGTGTAGCTTCTGGTATTGTGCTCATAGCTGACAAAATTGGCAAATCTTTCATTACATCAAGTGTTGGTCCTTCATCACAAGTGACATATGACTGAGAGTTACTTGAATTTGGGCTCCCTTCTTCAGAGAAGCATGACTGACTAGCAATCCATTCTACAGATGTATCAACAGAATCATGGAGTGGAACAGCATCAACTTCATCAACAGGGGAGTTTTCCAAGCTGGTCTGGTCATTGCAATTCACATTTGGGTCACTGACATTTTCACTGCCAACCAAGTCAACTGATCTTGAAGTCTTATAGCTCAAGTTTTCACTCACATTACTCTTATTTACATTTGTCAATAATTCAGCTGATAAGTGCTGTGACTTTTCTAATTTCTTTGTTTTTTTGGACTTGCCAAAACTTTTTCTTCCAAAATATCCTGAGCTTCGTTCAAAAATGTTTCCTTTGCTTGAATCCTCTTTTGATAAATCAAAAGACTGCTTGCAGAAGCCATTGAATCTCTTCTTCAATTCTTCAAGAAATAACTTCTTTCTTGCATCAGTGGGAGGTTTCAATAAATTTTTTGAAGGAGTCATACTTGAAGAACCTCTTTCATTTGTGCTGTAATCTATGGTTTTTGGTGTCAATAGTTTTGAACTAGTTATGTTAGGAGTCCTACAATCAGGACTTATGTTCAGGACTTGAGCAGGTTCAGGAAGCCGCTCACTTGCAACATTTCCACAATTTATAGCTTTATGATGAGTTGGTGTACTTGTATGAAGCACTTGAAGTGGAGTAAATTCCTTGTGGCACCATTGACGAACATATTCTTGACTTTCCAAAGGATCGATATTCCAGCTGTACCCAGCATTTACCTGCTTTGGTTTCTAAAAACAAAAAGAAACAAGTATTAATTTCCGATAATTTTCAAAATTAAATATAGAATACAGTACTTATAATCAGGTTAAATATGGGCTGTACCTGTACTGGTGAACACACAACTGGAGCACCAATATCTTGGGGTGATGTAGCATATTCAGCTTGCATCTCACCAGCATTTACAACAATAGTTTCTGCAAAAGCAATCGCACATAAGATAATTTAAAAAGCAAAGTTTTACTGTGTTCTTTGACAGAACAGCTCAGCTTTTTGGATAACTATTTTGGTGTCACTAGCACTTACCCAAATTAAAGTTAAAGCGAGGCACACTAAGACCTTCACTAAGGCGATGCCTACGATCTAAAAGTTGATATTTCTGAAGAATAAGAGCTGTTTCCCAATGCTTCTCCTTCAGAGCAAAATGGAGGGGGGTGTAACCATAATCAGCATCACGCAACCAAGGATCTCCTCCACATGATAACAGTAACATTAAGAGGTTGGTCCTGCCCCATACTGCAGCTACATGTACAGGAGTCAGACCATCTTCGCTTCTGAATATTAAGAGAAGATAAAAGGTATGAAGGAAAGTAAGCAAGAACAGCACAAGTGGACGAAATAAAGGCTCAACACCTACCTAATATTAGGATTGGCGTTGTGCTGAAGAAATATGCGAGTAGCTTCTTCAGCAAAGTGAGCACAATCACATCCTATCACCAAGTGAAATGGGCTAACGCCTCTTGAAAGAATGACAATGTTGGGGTCAGCTTTATCGTGGTCCAGTAGTTTTAAAATTTCTCTGTAAAATGGAAACAAGACAAAAACAAGCAGAAAATGAAAAATCAAAATCAAATGGAATAAACAATTATTGGCACTGAATGGTATACTAACTGCAAACATTTCTCTTCAACAGCTTCAAATAGCTGAAGAGCTAATGACTGTTTGGTCCTATCATAACCTTTTGGACTCATAGTTCTCCTAGTCAAATTTAGAGTTTCATATTAAAGAGACACTACATAAACAAAAGATGAGGCGGTAACGTCTACAGCCAGAAGACGTTTCCACATCACGATTAAAGGACCATTACGCTGCTGTCACGGTAATATGACGTGACGTTCAAGTAAAATTGTAAACAATGCCGACGGGACGTTTGAAAGTATGTAAGAACAAATTAAGAAAAACAACGATTTGCTAATGAAAAATTTAACGGTAAGTTATTTGTTTGTAAGAAAGAATCTAAGTCACTGATGTTCTTAGCACCTGGTTGCGTGGTTAAAAATACTTTGAATCAGGCTGACTATAAGCAAAATTTTGATTCATTTTAATGAGAAAATTAAAACTGTCATCAAAATACTCTATTTATACTCATATTATATGGGTTATGCTTGATTCTCCCCAGTGTCATGCTCACGTGGGTCACAACTGCCATAGTCAGCATAATCCCATCAAATGTGGGTTATCTGTTCAGAAACTGTGTTTAATCTTAAAACCACATTAAAGATATGATTCTGTATACAAATCAATAAACTAACATCAATTTAAGTTTTGATTCAAAATTTAGTGCTTTGGTACCATACCATAATCAAAATTAAAATTTCCCCTCATGACTTCAGCTGTATCACCAGGATAAATTTTGTAGGAGGACTTAGGATTATTGGAGGTAAGCAGTGAATTAACAAAGATTTTGATAATTTTATGATTTATTGTGGATTTCATTGCTTGGCAACAATTTTTTGCGACTCAAGTCTATCGATTGGAAAGTAAGGAACTTAATCTATATTGCTGTATTTGTGATTGTGAACCGTCGTCTTCAACTTTTGTGATCAATTTGTGTTCAGATCTTAATAACAATTTCATAACTGTAGTCTGCCGTCAATGATGTATGGGTAGTCGTCTGTGGTTATTTTTGGAACCCATTGAAACTCCTCTTTTAGTTTAAACCCTTGTATTTATGACTTTTCTCGTGCTATCAAATTTCAGTTTTGAAGTTCCTAACCTCGATTATGACATTTGTTGTGAATAGTTATTTTTGTTCTGCCCATTCTCTTTTTTTCCTGAGCTGTGGAATTTTCGGCTACTTTAAACCTCTTCTAACCATCTGTTCAAAGAATTAATTTATTACTTCATGTTGAACCACTATTTTTCAGTCAAGACTATGGTGCCACAGAGGTGAATATAATTTTTGTTGCTATAACTTCAATTTGTTTTTACAGCTTTCCCATTGGTGACAGGGAAGGGTGATTAACATGACAGACTTCGGTGGTGGACAAAATCGGTCCCAGGGTGATGATGGGGATGCAAGAACAAATCTCATTGTTAACTACCTACCACAAAACATGACTGAAAAGGAACTCTACAGTATGTTTGTCACCATTGGCCCTGTCGAAAGTTGTCGGGTTATGAAAGATTTCAAGGTACAAATCTTTGATTTTGCAGAATCGAGTAGTTTTATCAAATCCTAGATTTTTACTCAACCTTAGATGTTAATGCAAAATTCTTACTATCTTTTACATGATCTGTTATCTAGACTGGCTACAGTTATGGGTTTGGATTTGTTAATTATTCGAAGGCTGAGGATGCTGCCCATGCAATATCTACATTGAATGGTCTTCAAGTACAAAACAAGCGCCTTAAAGTATCATTTGCCAGGCCATCTGGGGATGATATCAAGGAGACTAACCTTTATGTAACAAACCTCCCAAAGTAAGCTCTTTTAAAATATATTGCCCTTTCATTTTTTTCCCTTCTAGTTTTTGATTATTTTGATATATTTTATTGATAAATTTCTTTTTGCGTTGCAGGAATGTTTCTGAAGCTCAGTTAGATGGATTGTTTGGTAAATTTGGTACGATTGTCCAGAAGAATCTACTTAAAGACAAAATTACTGGTATGCCCAGAGGAGTAGCATTTGTCAGGTTTGTGTGCCAATTAATGAGTAATTTTTAGTCATATTGATCAAAGAAATGCTCACCCTCAGTTCATTCTGATCAAATTATAGTGTTCTTTTTTTGTGTGTAAGAAAACTGTCTTGTACTTTGATTCTCTTAGATTTGATAGACGTGAAGAAGCTATGGAAGCTATTCAGCACATGAATGGAGTTATTCCAGAAGGAGGAACAGAGCCACTATGTGTGAAAATTGCTGAGGAACATGGCAAACAGAAGGCTGCCTATTATGCTGGCTGGCAGGCAGGTTATACCCAAAGCAGAGGTAAGTTCAGATAAATCTATCTAACTTATGTATATTCAGGTTCAAGCAACACTTTTAATTCATATCCACTAGTACCACTTTTAAACATTTTATTTACTGTAGATTACTGAAGTTGAATGTCATAGCCTTGATGGAATGTTAAATTTTTCCTCAGTCATAATTGAAACTGATCAAGCTTTGTATTCAGTTTGAGTTTGTAACAAACGCATGAGATGTGGCACTTAATTGGAGCCACAACACTGAGTTATTATTTGCTACTTTACTAGCTGAAAGGTCCATCAATTCCTCCTTCAATCTATCATAGCCAGTTTTGTAAAAGTTGTGTATTGGTCACAGTTGAGATATACTCAGACAAGATTCAACTGCCATTTTTCTTCCATTCTATTTAAAGCCGCAGCGTGTAACTACGCCCTCCAAAATTGGATGAAGCGCCAAAACAGGATGCATGCTCACTCATAGAATTTCAAGCCCTTCTCAATAAATAATAACTTCTATTTAAAACGTAGTTTCTTTTAGAGTTGAGATCTGGACACAAATAAAACTGCTCTGTACATAGAATTTTCCTTAAACTTTTTTGTTTAGAATTTATTTTTTATTTTTTTCTGTGTTTGTCACTTGTATGAAATTGCATGTATTGAAGTAATTTCTGAAGAGCAAAATACAGAACATGACTCAAATTTGTTGACTTATTGAGCTGCTATTTTACATTTGTTCTGTGCCATAATATTTGTGTATGTAATGTGTATTATTGAGGTTGGGGTAAGTATTGACATTTTAACACTACCACACATTCTCATCTTCCAATTGCCATAGTTGTTATTGTGTTAAAGTGCATCGAACTTTCAGCAAGTCTCGTAAATTAAAGTCAAGTTTATGTCCTGAGCCTACCCCAACATAACTGTTATTTTCTCCTCTGAAGATACTTTATTCTGTTATCCTAAATGATAGTTGCGTATCTACACTATCTATATAAAACTTGAATTTTTCCAGACAATGTGTCTCAGGAAACGTAAGCCCTTTTTGCCACTTCTTGTTTGATTCAAACAAGAAACTGGAGCTATCTTTTTTTTCTTTATTCAAATATTTGAATATAGATTGCCCAGGCCATTACGGTCATAGGTTGTGGGTTGACATCCCAACCTTTTTGTGGATAATTGGTTTGGATGTTGTAACATACTTCTATGGACCTGAGACAATCAGTTAAGCAAGATATGTACAACACATTCCTTTAAAATTTTGTGATGCATTTATCATAACAATTAAGCTGTCTCCCATTTATTTATTTATTTGGTAATCAACATTGGTGGATACTTACTGTCAAGCATGATTCTAGCTGTGTGCTGTTACATGTTATTGAAATATGTATTTTTTTTGTTGTGTCTAGTTTGTTTATGTTTTTGCACCCCGTGAGTAGTCAGATCCTTCGCTTTTAAATCTTAAATATGTAAGCCAAAATTTTCAAAAATACTTTTGTGGAGGTCGGCTCATAAAATTTTACTATTATTTGTGACTGATTACATGCCAGGAAAATTACATTTTCCTAGAAGCCTCTGACATCTATAAGTAGTTTGCATTACTTAATTCTCTGGATTTTTGGTTAGTGAGTTTTTCACACATGTAGAAATTGCCAAGTGAAACTGCATGTGTATGCATTTGTGATGCAAAGCAATAGCTTTGGTATGTAGCTATTTATTTGTGGATTAAATTTCCATTGCTTCATTCTGTGTGTTTTATTTCTTTTCCATTTTAATACGTAGCGACAGTTGCCTGTTTTAATTTCACCTTTATGTTTCATGTTAAAAAAAAGTTTTTCTTTAAAAAATGAGATATTGGAATTTTTTATCATACACAGACTTGTTTTGTATTCTTAAGACTCAATGAAAAGCGAGGCACTTTGGAAGATGGGAGGGATTATTCGGATGTGAAGCATCACGTGTCCTCTAAATTTTAGTGCCGCTTTTGATCCAAACATTCATTAAGGACAGATCCAAAACTGACACAAAATGCTGCCTTTATGTTTCAGGGATGCCAGTCTCAGTTGTTGGGAGCCGAGGGCGTGGAAGAGGAGGACGAGGTGGCGGAGGAGCCAGTACAACTGTTGGTAGTTTTGGACAAAGTGCTCAAACCTATGGAGCAATCCGCCAAGATAAACTTCAACATCGGTACAACCCCATTGGTATGGGTGGAGGCTACAACATGTACAATTGGAACTGAAGATTTATGTGGAAGAGTAACTTCAGCATCAAGAGTCTTTTCTGGCATGATGCGTCTTCCTTTTTGTGGTGATAATAAGAAACTGTTAAATCTATTAAATTGGCCTTACACTGATTTGCTGATGTAATTATCTTTTATTGTAGCTTGTGTGTGTATGTATAAAGGTGAGTGAGTGTATGTGCATACGTGTGAGTATGTGTGTGAGTTTGAGAATCAGAATGAGTGCTAAATGTGCAGGCCTCTCTTTCTGAACACACAGAAGAATGTACACATACCAAATGGAGGTATACTGCAAATATCTCATTTATGAGAATTGTTTGAATAGAGAAATCATATTAACTGTCCCATAGAAATGTTCTCACAATTTTTGGTTTTGCCATTTGGGACTTAATATGCATTTTACTTACTTCACTGTTAAAATTAGTATCATCACAATACTGGCTTTCTATGCACCATTGTGTCAAGAAAATTTATTAGTCTAAATCTTTGGCTTTAAACTTTATTCAACAAGTATGCGTTGTTTTACAATCCCTGGGTTCACATTAATTTCATCATTAAAAAAACATATTTATCATCATTGATGATCTAAAGTTAGTTCTGGCTTTTGACAAACCTTCTGAACTGACGAGGCTTGGTCTGCACAGCTCAACCTCGGAAATGTTACTCTTTGTAATGTATCTAAAGTCTTATTTATATGTACATTAAGATGTTTACAACTTTTTTTCTTCTTTTTTTTCATCTCAGCCCCTCTGTTTTAACTGATCAGTTGTTTATAAATGTGATTTCTTCAGAGCTTGAGGTTGTAATTTTAAGTCAATTACTAAATGCAAATATTTCAACCAAGTAAATATCTGTGTATATGTACGACATTGATTTATTACATAATGAGACATATGACTTCATTTTATGTTTTGGACATAAATTGGTTTACATTCCTAATCATATTGATCACTTTGGACAGAATTTGGCCTGACATCACTAAACAAATTAGATGCGCACCATCTGTTTAATTGTATTTTGAAAAAGGGTGCATTTTTAAGGAATCATGTTTTCTTTTAAATTTATTATCTATCCAGGTATGTTTCATTTGCACCCAAACAACAAAGTGTTACAGCTTCAAGTCAAAAAATGTCGTCGAAAGTATCTGTTATATATTTTTATTTTAATAGTGCTGAATTGTTAAACGGTTTCATAAGTTTTTCTTTTAAATCCTAAAAGGGTATCTTGTTTTATGGCTAAAGCAAATCAAGCTCTTGTCCTGCCCTTTTGTTTTTCATTTCTAAAGGTTGTAGAGGTATTGTTCTTTTTTTCCCTCAGTAGTACAAAAGAAAAGCACAAACTTATGGCTAAATTAGACCTAAGATTATATTGTGTTTTCCCTTGTGTTGCAAAATTTGTTCCTTAGAAATTCCATTAAATTCACATGACTCGTATTTTGAAAATGATTTGTTAATGTTTAACCAAAATGTAGTTGTGGCCATTGTGTATTGTTAAATTTTGAAGAGGTACCTAGTTTCCTTTTACAAGTTATTGTTATCTGATGTAAATTATAAAAGTTTATGTTAACTGCAAAATATTTATCATTCCTTAACAGTTGTATAAGGAGAAGCTACACTGGCACATTCCTATGAATTTGATGGACAATTGAAAGAGCATGCAGAGAGGTAGGGTAGATTTTTCACCATCATCTGGTGATCTTAAATATCAATATGTATCAGTAAATTTTTGGAGTATCTGTTTATCTTCCCACCAAGTGTTTTATTCAAACTGAATCGAAGGAAATACAGTTCAAGCTTTGCTCTCTTTCTAAAACACATTATTTGTAGGTGTGCTTGAAGTTTCAATTCCAATTAATTAGTTCTTACCCTGCTGTTGTTTCTAGGGCTTTGTAATGAGTATTTTAACTGTACCTTTGAAGCTCTCCAAATGTCTTGCTTTTAACATAACTTTTTTGAAAAGATGGATTTGGGGGGGCCTCCTTCAATCTATCATAGCCAGTTTTGTAAAAGTTGTGTATTGGTCACAGTTGAGATATACTCAGACAAGATTCAACTGCCATTTTTCTTCCA